TACTCAGCCCTGGACTCCCCATGGGAATGGGGCTTGGGGGTCTTCAGGGACCAAGCCAAGTCAGAAAAATGCAAAGTTCATCCATGCCATGTTTTTAACTCTACACAGTCTAGAATAGTGTAGATCACGAAGTAACCCAGGACAATGCAGCCTAATAGTACTAGTCTTCCTGGGAAGGCTGGACTCAGGAGACACTCAGAAAAGGAATGAAACCTGTTTATAAGGACTTCTCTGTAGATCGGGGGAAAGAGCAGATGCTAAGACATGTTCAAAAGTTCATAGAATATAAAGCAGAGTAAGCTTCATGCTTAGTGTGACTGGTTGTGTCAATTTTTATATTAAGCCCACTTTCAAGTTGGTGATTTGAGAGAGACGTGAAAGAGCCACTGAAATGTGGCTTCTTCCCCCAGTATCCCACCGACCTTGTTCTCTTTACAGTCACCAGTGATCTCCCCATTGCTATATCCAGCAGACTTGTCTGATTCTCATCTTAGCTGATCTGGATGCTGTTGACCACACCCTCATTGAAACTCTGACTTCTTTTGACTTCTGTGTCACTTCAACTGCATGTCCATTCCCCTCTCCAAATGCTTTTAACCAGATGTCATCTCTATCCTTAGAGGCCTGGCAAAACCAGGGATGAACCTTATGTCAAGGACTTTGGAGAGCTCCAGGTCAGCTCTGCCATTTCCACCAGTGGTCCCCAAGGTTCTCCTATACTCTACCACCTTCCCTTTGACAGTCTTAGTAACTCCTGTGGCTTTAACTACCATTTTCATTTAGGTAACTCTCTGACATCTGTCTCAAATCCAGTAATTCATTTCCAGCTGTCTCCTATGGATATCCACTGTTGTCTCATTTTCTCAGCCTCAAAAACTTCAGACCTATATAGTATGTGTTTGTAATGGTTAATTTTATGTGTTAACTTGACTGGGCTAAAAAGTGCCCAGATAGTGGGTAGATCATTATTTCTGGATGTGTGTGTGATGGTGTTTCTGGAAGATGTTAGCAATTGAATTAGATCTGCCCTTACCAGTGTGGGTGGGCTTCATCCAATCTGTTGAGGGCTTGAATAGAACAAAAAGGTGGAGGAAGGACAAATTCTCTCTCTCTTATTAAGCTGGAACATCCATATTCTCCTGCCCTCTGACACAGATGCTCCTGGTTCTTGGGCCCTCAGATCTGGGTCAGGACTTACACCATCATCCTTCCTGGCTCTTGGGCCTTTGGGCTTGGACTAGAACTATACCACCAGATTCCCTGGGCCTTCAGATTGTCTGACATCTCAGCCTTCATAATCCCATGAGCCAATCCCTCATCATAAATGTCTTCCTGTGCAACTCTGTCTATCTATATAGATATTGGTATTGGTATAGGTTATTAGGCATACGTTATCTATATCCTTATCTATACCTACGTGCACATAGGTATAGACATAGATAGAGATAGAGATGCAGATAGGTAACCTTTTGGTTCTCTGGAGAACCCTATTCCAGTGTTCAGTCAGTACTAGTTTCTTCCTTCTCTTTTCATTATTTCTCTACCTCCCATCAGCTGCCATATC